GTTTATTATAATAATTAATTTCATTTTTTATTGTGCAAGGCATTATTAATGCAAAGGCAGAGTCTTACCATTGATAGTGCATAGATATTGTGCAAGGCACCTCTACTGCAATCTTATAAGGCGAAATAGAGGTGATGGCATCAAACTTGCATTTTGCTTGGCATGTAAGGCAACCAATGAGTTCAACTATCTGGACAAAATGGATGCTTTGAGGGCATTGTCTAAGGAGGCTTATGCTTAACTGAATGAACTGCCTAGTAATATCTGGTGCAAAGCCTTTTTTCATGAGCATTGTAAGTCTGATGTAGTTGAGAATAATATGTGTGAGACTTTTAATGCATGGATTTTGGGTGCAAGATGCAAGGCCACTATTTCAATGTTTAGGACTTTAATTGACCAGCTTATGGAGAGATTTAAAGACAAAAAGTTGTTTGTTGATACATGGGCAACTAATATTGCACCTAGAGTTTTGAAGAAGATTAATGATAATAATAACCTATCAATGCAATGCAATGTTCGGTGGCATGGTGACAATGACTTTGCGATGTTTGATGGGCATACATAGCAGACACATGTGGTCAATGTCCAGGAAAGAAATTGCTCATGTAGATAATGGAACCTCATTGGAATTCCTTGCCCACATGCTCTTTGCGCATTCAAATTCAAAGATTGGTGTTTTGAGTACTTTGTTGATAAATACTACAAAAAGGAAAAGTACCTTCAATCTTATGGGACAACAATGGAATGCCTAAGAGGGAATGAAGTGTTGAAAAGGGGCCAGAAGGAGGATGTTTGCCACTGGAGATGAGATCAATGCCAAGACACCCTAAAAGGAATAAAAGAAAGGCAAAGGATGAGCCTAAGAAAATTATGAAGGGGAAATTGACCAAGTTATTAAAGCATGTATTTGTGTACACTTGTAGTGTGTGTGGTGAACAAGGGCACAACAAAGCTGGATGTCCACACAAAGACAAAGAAGCAGGCCCTAGTCAAACCAAGGTAACTTTGCTATTGCATTTTATTTGCACAATGCAATACTTTATTTATGCAAGGTAACTTTGACATGTTAACTTTATTTAATGGTAGGTTAAGAAAATATGTAAAAAGAGTTCACAAGCAGAAAAAAAGAACACCAAGGTTGGTAAAAAAGGTGATATTGTCTGTCTGAGAGGGGTTGAAGGAAAAACAACAAGCAAAGCAAAACAAAAGATTAATGATAGTGTTAAAAAAAATAACAATATTTATTCTGTACAATTCCATTTTTTTTTGTGTTTATAACAATTTTTTTTTTTTTTTTTTTT